GAGGTCCATGCTAACATTTTATTATTTTGAAAACAAGTTTTAAAGTCAAACGGGGATAGCTTAGTTTTGTAAAATTCAGGTAAAAACATCCCACAAGGAAAAAATGGTTCTCTTGAAGCCATGGAAAACCATGAAAAATGCCATTCGTGCACGACTTGGCGAACCTTATTTGCTTACTGCTTATCAGAATATGCGCTTGGCAAAACATATTAAAACAACGCAGGCAAGCAAAACTATAACCCTGTGAAAGCAAGGTTTTTCTCAGCGCAATGCAAAGAAAAGTCAGCCTGATGTAAATAATTCCGTTCAAATACATACTACACTTTTTAGTTCCTTCATATCGGCTACCCAACGTTATCGGCTTCCCAACGTTAGATCATAAAACACCAGGTGTTATGAATGTATTTACGATGTCCAGCACTTTAAATAAAAAAGGGAAATTAAAGGCTATTACTTAGCAGCGTGATATTTGCCTTTTGTTTTTATAAGAACGAAACAAAGTTTACATTTGCAGCATCAATCTGTTTTTGCATTATTTTTCCGCGATGTAGAAATTTCGAAAAAAAACCCAAACGTTTAGAAACATATTTTGTGTCTAAATAGACGCCAACGAACCATAAAAAACATTAAAGGAAACTGGAGATTTCTAAGGTTACTCAAGCACGGAAGACTGGCGCCTTTCTTTGTTATTTTTCATCTTAATTCATGGCAAATTAACATGTCGTATGATGACCGAAATATAAATGACGGCTTCCGTGTGAGCTTTAGGGAACTTAAGATGGAGACGTTTTCGGGGCGACGGCGACCGGACTGGCAGAGAAAGCCTGGAACTAAGGCAGCCGTCGCTCCCCGTCAAAAATAGAACATTAAGATCGCAGTGAACTCAGGAGGACGGCGCCTTTAATTAGAAGAATACCGAAGAGGAAAATATGGCTTCACATAAAGAATTAAGAGAATAAATATTTGCTATGCACACAACATGTATCGGATGAAGAGTTTCTCGTTTTGTGGGAAAATTATGAGTCCAAAAATCCCGATTTTCCTCGGGACAGTTACGATCCGTTCACGCTAAAAAACATGCGGGATGCAGCTGAGTTCAAGGCAGAATTTCGTGTTGAAAAAAAATGATCTCCACAGGCTTGCCGAAGCCTTGCAAATTACAGGAACATTAAAATGCTACCAAGGAACCGTATTCTTAGTTTGGTATTGAAATAATTCCCGGGAAATACTTGCATGCAACAACAACAACAACGGCAACAACTTTATTTCAGTATTCCCACGCCGAGTTAGTACATGGTATTACCTACTATTCTATATAATTTTCAATGCGTTTCATTTATACGATATTCTAACGAAAAGAGCGAACTAAAAACACACAATTGAAATATCGGAGTTCATATTTTTTGTCTGGATACTTTTATTTGGCTCGTGGGAAAATTTTGTCCCATGTCAAGCTCACTTACGGTTGGCTGTTTGCCAAGTTGGATCTTGACCCTGTGACATGAAAACATAGAAACATTCAAAGATGTAAGTTTAGATAACAGAGCTTGGAAATCGAGCTTGAAATGTGCCTCAAAGAAAACAAGGACAATTTAAGAACGATAATCTGCAAAATGTTGGTTGCTAAACGCAACAAACCTGATTGAAATGAAAGTTAAATACTCACGTTTTCGCCACAACGCCAAACAGACCAGTTTCACGTCGCCGACGGGACCACGACGGCAAGGTGGTGACCACAAGCATGCGCAATATCCAACAAATGATGATGTCACGTCCGGTTGAAGTTGCCGTCGCCCCGAAAACGTCTCTATCTTAAGTTCCCTTTTAGCAACGACGACGGCGACGGGAACGAGGATGTCAAAGAAGCAATAGGTTTATTACGCAAAACAACAACCTTGCACGTGCATCACACTTTTTAGTACATTTCTTTATCGTCCTTGCACGACTACGACGTGAAAATGCCTAATTGCTAGTATCATGGAGGACGTAAACAAGCGACGACGAATTTCTTTTTCTCTCTCTAAACTCAGAGTGCGCTCCTCAAGAAATCAACTTCAGGGAAATTCGCCTTCATTTGCCATTTTCAGAAAATTGGAATAAACGCGACAAAGCTTTAAAAAACGGGAATTTATTTTAAAAGTGAGACGTTTTCGCTGCCGTTGCCGTTGCCGTCGTCGATGCTAAAGCCCCCTAAAACTTCACAAGCGGTCGTTGAACGGGACCCACTTGTCCATGGCGGCTCTAGCTAGTGTCGATTACCGATGTTCTGATTTACGTTGATGTTATCTCCAACAAGCAGTCCATTTTTTCCAATCAGATACGCACGCCGTCATTCACAATAAATTGGCTTTCGCTAGTCTCCACTGCTCGATCCCCAATTATACTTTGAAGGGACTCAGATCTGATCATGATAAACCTTCGCAGACACGATTCAAATAAATATCAGACCAAAGCATTTGTAATCTGCGACCACAAATCACATCAGACCAGACCTGCGACGTACGTAAACAAAACATACCTGGTTTGATTGATGTATTGATTGCTATTTAATGAACACTACCAGCACCGCACCAATCAAAAGCCGCGTTCGTGGGCAAACGCAGTTTTTCAAAATCGTGGGGTTTGCGGGCAAGCGTTTCCTTCTCTCCCCTCCTCCTCCCCCGTCATTCCCTTTTTTGGCCCTCGTCCCAACTTTCTCGACGAACTCGCGCGGAAACGCTTGCCACGCAGGCTAAGGAGACCCTCGCTGGGGTGTCGGCTTTCTATGGGGTCGGCGATTTCACTATAGATTTCATTGTTATAAGAAAGACTTTGGAGGAGATTAAAACTGCTTTTGACAAAAACCACTGACTTCATGTACTCCTTCTCAGCGTGTCTGAGTCCCTTCGCACATGTTCATGACAGTTTTTCCCACTGTACTCTAACCTACCTCCAGATGTCCGTACTCTAAAGACCTGGGAAGAAAAAAACAGATCATCAACTGTCCACCTACCCCTCCCCTAAGCCAAAATTTTGCCCTAAGTGAGAAATAAGTGTTAATGTTGGCTTAAGGGAGGGGTAGATGGGTAGTTTCCCAGAAACGTAGAATCCCCAAATAAACCGTACCCAAGGATTTGAGAAAAACCTCTGGCACCGGGGTAGTCTACTACACAGCCGTTTGTAGTGTCGTCACGCAACGATCCTCCTTCTGGGGTGCTGGGAGCGTGACGACACTAAAAACGGCTTTGAAGCAGACTAGCACCAGGGGTAACTGTAGTCTAACCTAAGCTTAATTATCTTGTGGTGCATGTGGGTTAAATCTTGATGGATAACGAGATTGTGATTTTAACACCGTCTTCTTTTTATACATTTGCCAATGAGCTCCTATGGTTACTTTTTGCTTTAAAACCTTTTTATTCCTTTGTTTTAAACGCGTTCTTCTAGACCGTGACCGTCGCATGGTTTAAAGCCACAGCAAATCGATTCCAACGTTGCTGACCCAACCATGTGGGGAGTTGTTGCGTCCGTTTGCACGTAGCTAAAGGTTTGACTGGTTTCAAAACTTTGCGCAACAACTCACAACAACACGCAACAACATGCAACAGCGTCTGCAGACGGACGCAACATGCAACATCCAACAAAGCTGGGAGTTAGCCAACAATTTTGCGTCCGTTTGCACGGAGCTTAAGGTTTACGTTGGGACCAAATGGGACCAGAAATATTACAAAAGTAATCATATTATTAACATACCGTAAAATTCGAAAATAAGCCCCATAATTTAAGCCCCCCAAACCGGTAACGTAAAAAACTCGCCGTTAAATCGCCCCTCCAAATATAAGCCTCCCCGGGGCTTGTACTTGGAAAATTGCCCTCAAATACAAAGTAAAACAAAGCAAAAACGGTAAACTACACTTCCAACTATAAGGCTAGCCCAATCGATTTTGAAACGCAAATTTCCCTCCGTAGATAAGCCCCTCCGAATATACGTCCCTCAAAAAGGGCCTTTGAAAAATATAAGCCCCGGGGCTTATTTTGGGAATTTTACGGTAGCATAACTGTATTTATGACAAGCCTACGACAATCACATGATTATCCGGTAACGTTAACCGGCTTCTAACAAGTGTTTGAGCCAGTTAGAATTTCAGTCTATTTAGAGTTCTTATGCCGTGAATTTCCCTGTGTTCACCAGCGTCCGCACAATCCAATATGGCAGTTGATCTTGAACATAGACAACCGTTAGTCCACGACGCTTCAAAGGGACTTCAACGAGTTAAATAGTTTCACTCGTCACAAGCCACTGATGAAAATAGGCTGGTTGGATTTGTATATTAATTCGTGGGGCAGGAGGTGGGTGGAAAGAGAAATCATATAAGTGAACTTTGACAATTTCTCTCTGTTCTAATCGGTCGTTAAAAATCACATAATAAACTGATTCATCCATTAGAATGATTCCTTAGTCTTTTTTTTTTTTGGAATAAAGATTGCGTGCAAGCGACCAATTTTGACGTTTCAGACGTAACCTGAATATTTCAGAATACTGATAGTATTAATCGCTGTGAACCTCGGACACATGTCGCTAAATTATAATTAGAATACTTCTTTCCCTGTAATTTGTTTAAGTTATTAAAAGAATAGGATTTCTTTCTCTACCTTGATTTGCATAAAGTTTCTTTTCCTTTAACATGCAAATTAGCTTTCTTCAATTTTTCTATCTTTTTCGTCTCGGAATTGTCGTGGTTTTGAGGTTTTGAGCCATTTGTACTGCCTATCATGCTCTTTTTAAATCATTTTAATCCGCAAGTATAGCGAAATGATGCGTACGTGTGTTTTGCGTGTTTTTTTGAAATGTCCGCGTTGTGTTTTTCTTAGCAACGCAGCAAAACAATGGCGTCGAACTGCGCGAGCGAGTGACTAAATCCGTTAAGAATTTATTTACTGGTAGGCGCATCTACCGCATCATTGATAGTAACACACATATAAACTAGTGTGTCTTGTTAAAGACGTTCTGTTGAAGCTGTAACATGGGAGATTCTTACCAAGTCTCCATCAAAAACTCTCTGCAAGAGAGGCCAGCAGCTGTTGAAGCGATAATTATCAACAGTGGCGTGCAACAACAAACAGAACCTGTAGATAATCGAGCCGAGCCACTGAGCATCGAAGGCGTTGAGCGTGGAGAAGATGTCAAACGATGGAAGCCATATGAAAATTCCAAATACGAATCACCGGTGTTAAATCGATTGGTGCCTTGGCCACTGTACTATTATTGCCGCTGGAAGACACTTGAGATCTTCCACACTCGGCTAGTGTTCGGCATAGTACTTGGCGAAGTTCTGTTTTTTCTTCTGCTAGTTGGATGTCTTGCTGGAGCTCTGGCGGCTTCTGGCATGCAGAAAGGCGAGGATGCAGCCGAGGGCACTGGAAGTATAGCGATCATTCCAGCAGCTCTGGCTTTCGCTTTTGCCTGCAGAAATTCTGTGTGGGTTCTCTTCACAGGCTTGCCATTTGAAAGAGCGCTTTTTTGGCGTAAGCTGTGCGCTTATCTTAGTGTCCTGGTTGGAGCTTGGCATGGCTTCTTGTCAGATGAATGGGATTCATCTGGGCTAGTCCTCACCGGCACCATGGCTGCTCTGTGTTTATTCTCCCTGTGGTTTATCCGTCGGCGTATCTTTGAAGCTTTTTATCGCTTCCACTGGATTCTATTCCTGGTTGTAATTGGGTCTGCATTCGTACACGGCGCTGGTGGGATTGCGTTTGGAGCTGCTCCATGGTTGTTTGACATATTAGTCAGGCTGCTCATCTCATTTTCAAACAACAAGCACCAACGAAGTATTCTAGCCGTGCGTTTGCCATCCAACGTGGTCCGCCTCACGTTTCTTAAGAGGGATTTTAAATACAAATCAGGTCAATACTGCTTTATATGTGTTTTTCGTCACATTGTGTCAAGCATAAAGTAGATGGTCTCTAAGAAAGCTGGTGATGCATTGTCATTGGGGTCAAACACCCAGGGGTTTACTTTCATAAAATTGCCTTTATCAGTTGCGGGTAGCTTTCAGGCTTCAAGTACATGAAAGGGAAAGGATTTCACTAGCTGAATTATATGGAAGAGTAGGGAAATGTGTCATTTCGGCCTGTAAAAAGGCCCAAAATGGCTAACAGTTGCGTTTTATATCTGCGAAAACGGTCACAAAAAATTCTAGTTTTGTGATTTATTCATATTTAAAAGACAGTGCATTTACTGCAGTTTAAAGGGATGCAAAGTTTTAAACTTAGTATGTGAAAGGGGTTCCATTTGTCAATAGAAGGTGTACGAAACGGGTGCCCTTTCAGCCAAAAATGGTATACATACAAGGGTAAGCTAAGGGGTTGAACTCCCACATAAGACTTTGTTAATGTGAAGAGGATAAGAGGAACGAATGAGTGAATTGTTTCAGTGTGCCCGAAGGCAAATTTACTATGTCAACGAAGTTGATACAATTTTTTTTAAGGCACACAAGACCAATTATTGTTTCAGTAAAGGGATAGTTTCTCACATTCCTAAAAAAACTGTACTGGTTAGGGTTGGTCTGGCGAGGGTCTAGCACTGGAAAGGCCAGCTCTTAAATTTCATTACGATGGTGAGTTCAAACGAAAGCCTAGTCGGAGGACTAGCTATGCTTAACATTTTTTTCTATTCTCTATGAGTCTATGTCCTTAGCTTGGCGTCTGTATTATCATTTGTCAATTAAAACGCTCGTTAAGAATGTAGTGATTCTTACGAAAGATCTGTGACATAGGAATGCATTTCTGACAGTGGTTTTGTTTGTCGGTTAAAAGGTTATGTTTATCTGGTCCGTTCGTGACCTGTTTATGGTGACCTCAGTTCTTGATTACGATAAGGAGTACTTCCAAAAGAACACGAATCTTAGACTACCAATCTCCTTCTGCCCCGATCTGGTCGTACGGGGACAGCCCCAAGAGGTGATGGAAAACTATTTCCATCTCACCAGAGAGAGAGATTCGTCCAAGTTTGAAGAAGCCAACATCCGTCCAGAAATGCAACCAGATCTGAAATTCGGTCGCCCTGACTTGCAAAAACTATTCTCTAAGATGAAAGGCTATGCCAGTGAGATGGGCGAGGGTAAAGTGGCGGTACTGACGTGTGGCCCAGCATCACTGGTGAACTCAGTCGAGAAATTGTGCGCCACGTTCTCAAGTGGAGGTGTTACATTTGACTTCCATAAGGAAGTCTTTGAGTTTTGATGATCAGTGTCAACGTTCAGCGTGCCTAATACAGCCTAACGGGAAAATCCTGTTCGGTACACCAAAACGTCCTGAAAGACTACATCTGGGACCCTGGTTCTATAAATATTTTTGTGGTGAGGTCTTTGTTGATCAAATAGGAGTATTGAGTATAACTACTTTACTAACTATAAGCACACCATATATTGCTTATGTTTTTTTTCAAACAAGCAAATGTTTGAATACAGAGCGTTATGTTCAAATCTGACCTCCATGTTCTTCTTGTAAAGAACTTCCTATTTAAAAATACATATTCTAGATTTCGTCTAAAGACTTTTTTCGAGTAAACCACCGCCGGCTGCGCCACTGATTCGCAACATTTTAGATTGTTTTATTAAGGTTAATGAAGCATGGGATTGGCTTTTGAGCCATATATAATATGCCTTATCAGTAGCTGTGCTCAAATTATGCCAGGATCCTCCTTAGGAGAAATTGTTTTGCAATAGCCAATTTGTCCGTAAAAGCGAGGCTAAGTGCGAAGCTATTGACCTGAAAACTATTTTTTATCCTCATGCAAATGAAGCTCATTTACACAAGAAAGGTTTTGCACTTAGCCTCGTTTTGAAAGTGAGAGTTTATGGTCTATTGGAAGATGATCTTGTGGAGCCGAAATCAATAGAATTTTTAGCTTGTATAATTTATATTCGTTTTCCCATTTCAGACCACGTGATGTTTACCCCAGCGAACTGTTCTTTTTTGTTTTCAAATATCGTCCTACAAACATGTATCCACGTGCATATGTGTTCATAATTTAATTCCCTTAAGAACATCGTCTAAATTGGTAAACCAACTTCAGTCTATTGCGGGATCGCACTCACGTTATTCGCTTCCCACAGATGAAAAGTTACCACGTACAGACATATTCAGCAAAACTAATTGGCGGTCTGACCCTTTGAATACCTATGTTCTCATTTTACGTACATTTTCTTGTTGTAAATAACTGCCAAAAATCTAACATAAATTCATTCGCGGGGTTTTAGATCAAGACATTTTACAAGTAAACCAGTGATTAAGTAAGGACTTTCAAATCCTCCTCTGTTTTAAAATCAAATTTAAGAAGGTGGTCGTGTTGATGACACGGACTCTCTAAGCTTTTAACCGTCTGTAATGTACGGCCACGCTGCAATAGCCAAGCTCGGCTCGCGATATTCCTTTACGCCCCACTCAACTTGGGAGCCTTTTTGCAGGCTAGCACTGCAAGTTCTTTAATTCTGAGACCAATTACTTTAAAGCCCTTTTGAAGGCCGTTTTGAATTGCAGATTCATAATACCGTTTAGTATTTACTAAAACAGTGGATAGTGCTTTTCGCGCGCTCTGATTGGCTACTCAATCAGTGAATATCCTGCACTATTCACTGATTCACCTCCAGTTCCTCCGAGCGAACGACGCCAAACTCACGTTGGTTGCGAGCAAAATGCCTTCCCGGCTTGCTGCCGTGATAAACTAAGAAATTTCACAACTAATCAAGCAAGCTATTTCCGAAATACATTAAGAAGGTGACGAAGTTCGGTTTGGAAATTTTAACAGGTAAAGCTTTGTCTTTTTGACTTGAATTTATCGATAAAACCGGTGAAAAAGTTTTTTGTTTACAAATGCAAATTAAGCTTAAGTCTTGCGTTACTTTCATTTAGTTGACTTGTTCATAAATAAGCTCAAAACTAAATTTAATAATCTTTTTTACAGAATTATTTTAAATACAAAAAGAATTCACAACTCCTTTTGAAGAAACTTCCCCGCAAGAGCTAAACAAACGCCTTCAAAAGTCTTATTTGACGCTAAGAAAAAGCGACGACCGCGGCCGTTCGGTAATGGCGCGCCAAAATTGTAATCGTTGGCAACAGTAAATGACTTAAAAATCAATTAAGTGCTCAATTATCTCACTGTTTTAGTATATACTAAAACAATTATTCACCTCAGTGTCGGTGGCTAGTAGTGGATATTTTCCACGCCGCTTCGCAAAAAAAAAAAAAAGATAAATAGATAAATAGATAAATAGATTTTCGTAAGATTGGTTTTGAAATGAGGTGCGTCTGGAGTTTTTGGAACTCGGACATAGGCTATTAGTTGAATCTGAACAGCGCATCAACAACCTGAGAAAGATAATTGTAAATTTTCTTACTCACAAAAAGATTCGATCCTGTGTAGCGCATAAGATTCGAATGTAAAGAAAGATTACCGGTTACGAGAGAGAAATGCAAGTAAAATCATGTTGTAGCTCTCGGTGTTGTTGTGTTTTAAATCCGTTGGATTTCAAACGTCGAAAGATTATCCTATTGTTAATATTGAACAGTAAACTAAACCTACTACTTCCACTTTTGACATAGGGCATTAAGGTTTTGCGGACTTATATCCATGCCGTATATGTATATTACAAAACGCGTATTCTAAAACAGGACGCAAATTAAGGCCTTCACCTGCGCGAAGAATATGCATGTGCTGCGGGCTAATTCTGAGCCCTTGTATTGTCTCCCAAGAGATCCATGTTAACTACAAGGCTTGGTTCCATTTCCAGTACAACTCTGACTCACTTGGTCGTTGCCATACCTACCAAAACTTAAAGCGCTTTTGAAAGCCGCCTGAAACTGACGGTTCCTAATCCCGTATATTATTGAATTAACTAAGTGGCATGGTGCCTTGTTTTAAAAACAGTTTTTGAAAAGAAATGGTAATCTTACGTTTACAATAGGCAATAAAATTGAAGAAAAAAAAATGAATAAACTGAGGAACAAGAAAAAACTATTCCTTACTTCCAAATTTTATACAGTAGTCTTTGAAAGTGGTCTATTTAATGAATTTAAAAGAAAGAAGCCAGAATATACTTCGAGGCTACCATGCCTGGGGCGTTTGTAGTGATGTATATATATTACAAAATAAATATTACTGCGATCTTAATTCTACTCATTGGTATTGACCATACTTAAGGATTAACAACATATTTTGAAATATGAAGCCGTCTACGCGGAGAGCATAGAAAGAATTATTATTTTTTTAAAAAAATTGTTTTCATGACCTTAATATTACTCCTTATTTTGAAATAATGATTTACGGTAAAGCTAAGAAATCTCGAAGGAACACGCTAATCTATGATTACTACTAGTTACATCACATAAGACAAGAGATAAAAGCTTTCATCTGCCTGAAAAAATAGGCACGTACTGAAGGCTAATTCTGAGTTCTCATATCGTCTCAGGACATCGAACCTTGCTACAAGGCCTGATGCCATCTCCTGTCCACCTCTGACTTACTTGGTTGTTTCCACACCGACCAAAACGTAGAGCCCTTTTGAAGGCCGCTTGAAACTGCGGATTCATAAGTCCGTATATAATTGGATTTACTAAACCACTGGTAAACATGAGGTACATAGCTGCCAGAGAAATTGCCCTGGGGATCAAACACCCAGCGGTCTCGCAAATCGCAAGGACAGAACCTGGTGTCATGGTCACCACAAATGTACAAACGACAGCGAAACTGGTTTTCAAGAGTTTGATATCAGTTCGACAACGTTCTGATGATGCCGCTCCGTCTTCTGTGCTATGGGCATTCAGGTTCTGAGTGCTTTCTACAAGAATCTTATAAATCTTGTAGTAGGAATAAAATATTGCAATTGTGTTTCCGTTGACCAATACTGCCATAAGAACTATGGCATATGAAATATGCTGAATCTTCCAGGAAAAAGTGCAGATAGCAAAAGAGGGATGGTAGGCTATCTTGCCCCACCCGTACAATGGCGGTGTTGCAACAAGTGTAGAAGCTATCCATAGGAGGGCGCAGTAAAGTCGTGCCATTCTCTTGCTTGGAAAAAGTATGCTGTACATCGCTGGTTTGACGACTCGGACATATCGGTTGAAGGCGATAAGCCCCATATTCAGGTGGGAAGTAGTTCCTAAGATAGACAGAATCGCAGCAGAAAGCTGACACCACTTCTCGCTAAAAATCCAAGTCCCCGAGTGGAGGCTTATTACCCAAAAAGGCATGTACAATGTTGCCATAAAGATGTCAGTCAAAGCCAGGTTCAGGATGAGCGCTTGAGTCTGGAGTCTTTATTGACAACATAGACGACTAAGAAATTGTCGAGGATGGAGATGAGGCAAATAAGAATAGACAAGGCCACTTCCAAACTGATTTCGCTGCGCGAACGTCCTAGTGGATCGTTGGAACTCGGTCCTTTTTGAAAAGTGTAGGCCATGATATCAGCTCACAATGTTACTATTAATTGCCTGCCTGCAAAAAAGTATGATAAAATAAAAAATAATAAGTACAGTAATCAACCGTCAACGAAGTCAAAATTTGTATCTCCAGTAGTTTAGCAGTTATTATGAAGTAATAGTTGGGTTTTCCTCTTTCATCTTTTAAAAATTTTCTTCAACAAGGAGAGCTAGTTGCAACAACTGATTAGCAGAAGAAACATTACGGTCTAAATAGAATTTGTCACTATTTCTTTTTTTTTTATGTCAAATCTGGATAAAATTTCCACTTGTTAGCGATTTTGGAAATGAAAATGAAAATATATTTTAAAAAACGCCCGCCCGGTTCCAATCGCAGTTGCCTTTACTCCATCAAGTATTTACCCATCAACTATCGTACGTATCTTAGCGTCCTCTAGCCTAGGTAAGTTCATGGTACGGCGGTGCTCCATTTGTTTTTAAACAGAATTCCCTACTTGGTAAAAAAAGCCTCTTAAAATAAATTAAGCAACAAGAAAAATTCTGTGTCTCCCTTTCAAAAGGGGACTATAAATTCAAGCATTTCCACTTTTTTTGAATTTTCTTTGCTTATATTTTCATTTGTATAAAAACCACATCAAGTCTTGAACTTCATTTAGCCTTAGTTGACCGAAAATCATGCGAGACCAAAAACGGTAATCTTTCAAGTGGCAAATAACACATTGTTTTCAACTAAATTTACCTGTCTATCTGTAAAATTTATCAAATTTCGGGGAAGTTCGGTCTCAATATATATTAATTTTGTACAGTTCTCCTTCTCCGTTTTGCTCTGTATCTTAAATGTCATCTAACGAAGACTATTTATATGGCAGTCATGTCACTATTTAGTCGGTTACATCTATGAAACTAAATAAATGACGGCAAATTCATTCAACAACTGATAGTTTTAGGTAATAAATGCCTTCCTTTTAATAAACTGCCCAGCATTGTCTTCGGCTTACTGTCGAGAAAGTGAATTTTCATTAATGGCATGCAATTACCGTTTTCCTCTTGTTGTGAAAATGTCAATATTTTTACAATGTTCCTTTTTCCTAGTAATAATGAATTGATTCCAAACGCTCAGTTAGAAAGACCAAGAGCTCAATGCAGGGTTTCTAGCTCTGAATTTTCATAAAAGCGCAAAAAAATATATCAAAGGGAATTAAATCAGAAAATACAAAGGAATCCGTAATATAAAAGAATTATATCACTTTAATATCAGAAATAAACCGACGTTCTTTTATTTAACCGAAGTGCGATTAACAGTCATGAAATTTATTCTGCTTATATATTTTGTTCTCGATTGGGAAGCCCAGGTTTGCAAGCTTATAATTTGATTAGTTTCTTCTGGGTTTCATGTCGTCTTTCCATTCGTGTAAGTAGTAAAAAAAGTTAGTTATACTAGAAAACAGTAAAAACCTCAGTAAAAACTTTAACTACTTAAGATCTAATATCTGTTGCATAAAAATATATCATCGTATAAAAAATATTTAAAAAAGAGCGAAAATTGAACATGAAAATTCAGAAAAAGGTCACAAACTATGACAGCAAAGAATAAAATAAATTATATAATAGTAATAATGATAAAATAACCGTATAACATAATGCAAGAGAAAAACTAGTAAATTACGATTTTAAATTGAACTTTTGAAGAGCCTTTTTAAACACAGTTAGATTATCGGAGTTACTAATGTATGACAGTAGCTTGTTCCACAGCTTGCTGGCTATAAATGAAAAGGATTTACCAAGTTACTTCCCTTACCCCTTAGATTATAACATACCTCAATTAATTCAGAAAAGGAAATATTTGCTTGCAAATAGAATTTTTATGCTTCTTCTTGCCATTGTGTACTTTTTATTTCTTTGGGGGCCTGGGACTTGGGGTGGCATTTATTTGGATTATAGCCAATACCCTTTAGGATACTTGTGTTTGCCAAGTGACCAGGCGTACATGTGAGCTTCACTTCGTTTCATCTTGACGGTGGGTAAAGACGTGTTTTTTCATCCCTCCTCCTCCCCTTGTCCCAGCCACTCCCCTTTTTCATATATTTAGTTTGTATTTTTGGCGTTTTCAGTGCCCTCACCTTTACTGGGCCAAACTTTGTATCAAGGATTTGATTGAACAGTATTTTTAAATAAATGCGGCTATGGGATTTTGCCCATAGCCATTTACTCCATTTGTTGGTTGGTCATATTTTTGCCCAGTAAACATAGCTCAGGCAAGGCAGCATTTTTGGGTTGTGCATATAATTTATAAGGGAGAAAAGGCATAAATCGGCAATGTACTTTGGACCTATTGAGTAAAGACATTTATAAATCAACATCAGAGCTTGGTAATAACGACGGTGTTTCAAAGTATCCATGACCACGAGATTCAGTAAGCTTTCGTAGATTTCATTCTTAGTCCTAAATAGAGTTCTTAAGATATAATAGATAGCATCTTGGAGTCTATCGCTCTGCACCTTACCTAGAGCAACTAAAACTGTATTACACCTTTTTGCTCTTCATTACCGGGAAATAAATTTTATTAACGTGAAATTATTATTCATTTTATGCATCAGTCAATTCCACCTGCGCCCACCTCCCCCCCTCCCTCCCCCCATCCCCAGGCTGACCCCCGGGCATTGGCATTTTTTGCCTTGGATGGCAGATTCCCGGGGGTTGGGACTCTTGAGCGGTCAAATCCCCTGGGGTGGGGATGAAAAAAGATGGCAGATGCCCCGTCCTCCGTCAACACTGCAACATTTTTCATTGATCGCACAGTCGAATAGCGCCATTTTAAGCATTTTAATGTTCAATTTTTTATTTCAATTAACGTCTTCCTTTGTAATAGTGCTAGGATTCTAACGATTCTAACGACGACATGCACCAGTTTATGGTTTTAGTATTGATATAAAATAATTGACATTAAAATTAATAGAGTGCTGAAAAGTTATATGTTNTTTTGCGTTCTAGAGAAAACCTGGGGTGTGTAAAAGCCGCGGAGACGCCCCCGGGGTGGCAAAATCCCCGGCCCCGGCGGGTGGAAAATGTCAAAATCCCCCCCCCCGGGGGCCGTAAGGGGGGGGAAACCCCCCACGTGGCCCCGGGGGGGGGGGGGGCGCTGGGCGCAGGTGGGATTGATTGATGCATTAATTAATGTATAAGCCGTTTAGCCAAGGAAGCAAACATTTAATTTTGTGGCATAGTCATTAACGCCAATTTCTATAGCGTTTTATCGTTTCATTTTCCTTGGGTGAATGTTCGTTTCTGATAATAGAATATAAATTAATAGCGATTTCGGCTCCACTACGCAGTACAACATGAATAGAAAAACCATTCTGTTTATTTTGGCTGTTTCGGCCGAGCACCGCAGATATAACAATACATTATACAACATCTTCTATTACATTCAAATATGTGGTGTAAGAACTAGAACAGAGCTGAGCGACAGTTTACACAGAATACAGTCAGAACAGAGGCCAGAAAAAACCTGCCGGAAAAAAAACCTCAGTAACGAAAAAAATTCGGCAGGAAATCTGGGTAGGATCCTTGGCTCATGCTCTGAAAAGCCCATCCTACGAAGGGTACACGGCTGGAAGGACTTTGCCCTTATTTACAAAACAAGTATTCCAACAAAGGACGGCAAACTCTAAATAATTTAAGGAAACGCAAACGAGCTAAGAAACCCCTGGAAAAATCGAACTGCCACTAGTAAATCAAATATATACTAAAATAAATAAATAAATAAATAAAAAATAACATGAGCTAGACGAGGTGTGGGCCTAGAATGCTTTCCCACGTGATAAGCATCCGTTTTATAGCGCTCCATTCTACCCATACTGCACTTCAACTGCCCCAGTCCCCACTGCTCCCGTGCCGCAGAAATATTTCATTTCTGGCTAATTCGTATCCACTCAAACGCCGGAAATTCCATATTATTATTTTTATTTTTACTTGCCAATATTACGTTGAATTTGGAGGCATGCTTTAAGTCGGAAGCGAATTTTACAACACTGCCTGAAACTCGTATTGCAGAGGTGGCGCGTATAGTACGTTGCAATCATTTCGATAGGTTTGTAATTTGCTGCCGTGCTCGCACAAACAAACAAGTGATGCGTACAATGTTCAGTCAATACATGTAAAATCAGGGAGCAGGAAGATAAATAAAAATAAAGAACGCAATAATGACATCAATAGAAGTTTGGGTTCACGCAACTCACAACTCGAAAAAGCAAGCATATGGAACATGAGCTTTTATTCAACACTAATAACCTCTGTTGATACTAGTAATGATAATGTATTAAGTAAACGTTAACGAACATTTAGATGCTGCAAATGTTTCTTTATTGTTTCGAATGATTATCATTTTATTAAATCGAAAATTCATTGACGTTATTGAATGTCCTTCTCTATTTCAAAATTTACTGACCGCACGAAAATTAAGACGTTAGTTTATTTTCCTGCAATGATTACACATTCATTATATTGACTGATATTTTGACTCTAATGAAAATTTATTTCCTGGTAATGAAGGGCAAAATGGGTACAATATTCTAAATATGCAACTACAAACGTTTTATATAGGAGAATCATAGTGCTCACGGAGACAAAGCGAGATATTCGTTAGAGAGCTGGGTTGGGTCTAACACAAGTTAATCAAATGAAGGTGTACTCATCAACCCATGTCTGCTCACTTGTACAGTGTGTTTAGTATCTGCATAATACGCATTTGCTGCAAGCTAATTCTAAGCCCTCATGTCATCCCAAGAAATAGATGGACTTCAAGACTTGGTTTCATTTCCTGT